AAAAAGATGTTTTAAGTTAGTTCAGTCACTGAAAAGACTTGCCACTGAATTATTTTATGGGTCTTCAAGACTAATGATGAGCTACTGTTAATCACTTAGTAAACATCTCTGGCAGGGAGAAGTCTGATGGGAATTCAACTGGGATTCAAATCTGCTGTGGCAAAGAAAACACAGGTTGCAAATATGCAACATTACTAATATAATAGCATAATTTTAAAATATATGTGTATATAGAAATAAAAGAGCAAAAAGCCACTGAACTGCTAAAGGTTACAATACTTTGGGGACAGTGCTTCCAAGAAATGGTTCATTTCTGATGGCCTGACAAGGTCTCTTGGGAAAATGCTCTGTGGGAGAAACACTGACCAGGTCCCTCTTCTGTGCTCGCTCCTCCTGTGGGGAAGCCTCCAAACAGCCACTGGTTTTGTGACTGATCACATTTTCGTTCGCATCCACAAGAATGGTGGGACCTAAAATTGCAGTCTTGATCCTTTAATATGTGGGGAATTAAAGGAAGAAGCCTTTGCTACACTCAAAGCAATAATCCTTAGGTTTTTGCCCCAGAGGTTCCATGTCAGGATCTGAACCTTCACCCCTGCAACCTTCCTTGAATGCTAAAGTATCCCAGGCCTGGTCCTGACTTTCACAGAGGATCCAAACTGGGCAGATAAATTGCTAAGTATGGAGCCTGATCTTCAAAGGGTTACAGGGCTCCTCAGTGCAGAGAAACAGAGAATAGAGTGCTTTTCTTTAACAGCAGCAGAACCACTTGTAATAAACATCCTTTTGGGGATCTGCACAAGCCATTGCCCTGTTGTGCATGATGTGCAGGACGTGGCAGAGCAGCTCCCCATGATGATAATGTCAACCCATCATACTGTGAACATCCCTCCTGCACTTGAAAGAGAGCCACGACAAAAAGTAAAACAAAACAGAGAATGCTTTCTTGAAAGCCTATGTTGAGTTACTCAGAGCTACCACTGAGGAAGATATATTTTGTGCCCCATTAAATCAGACTTTAGCACCTTTCAATAAAAAGTTGGTTGAAAATATATATTATTTCTCAGCAATGGCAGCTTCTGTGCCAGTGCTGTAATCTGGCTGACTAAAATGTCAGTTTTCTGAACAGAAATGAATAAAAACAGCCCCCTGTCTGTACGTATGGGGAAGTGCCACTGGAAGATCAGTAGCTTTATGGTTTTTAATAGATTCAGTAAATAATTGAATCGAAGAAGTAACTTCTGCTGCTGCTGTATTTCACTGCAATTGGAGCAAATGAATAAAAACAGCCCCCTGTCTGTATGTATGGGGAAGTGCCATTGGAAGATCAATGGCTTTATGGTTTTTAATATATTCAGTAAATAATTAAATCGAAGAAGTAACTTCTGCTGCATTTCACTGCAATTGGAGCGTGCCCTGCTTGCCAAGGCTGGGTCCTGACCCCGTGAGGGCTCACAGGGAGTTTGCATCCTGCCTTACCTTTGCCTTTCTGACATCTCCCTACTTTACCTTTCCATGGGAAAGGGGAGAGCTAGTACGTGCTCATCCTAAGGAGGTTGGTTAAATAATGAAGAAGGTGCTTTACCCTTCTCCAGGATCCCAGGTCTTTTCTTCTACACAAATAGAATGAGGCAAAAAACCCCCCTAGTTTTAGCCTCTTGGTAAACCAAGTGAGAAAACCAGCACTCAGCTGTGTACACATCATTCAGTGGTAAGTGATCAGACTTGCTTGTGTTTGGCTCAATATAAAATCCCACACTAATTTAGCAGTAAAGGGGATATTATTTTTCAGCTGTTTTTCTCTATATACTCTAGACTAGCCTGTATATGTTTTTTAGAAGAAAATCTCCACTCTTTGTGTTTTCTGTGATTCAGAGAACTGCATTTAATGTTCAAATAGATCATATTACTGCCTATTCATTCCACTCTTTTAAGTCTTGTACCCACATAAAAGCATTTAAGCTTTGTTGTTGTTGGTTTTTGTTTTGATTTGTGGTGTTTTTCTTTTTTCTTGTTCTTTCATTAAAAAAAAATTCCTGTTTTGTTTTCAAAGTGTACATCGGTTTGGATGAAACAGCATCAAATGCTTCTCATCTGTTTGGTCTGAAGCAGCGTAAATCTCAACATAATCTAATTTTAGTGTTAACCTTTTTGGAATTACTTTGGTTTTGCAATGTTCTTGGTGGCCTTAATGATTGAACCTTAACGTTTTACAAAATAGGTTATTAATTCTATTGATTAAACTTTTTCCTTATTTCGCATTTTTCCTCCCTTGCAGTTCACCAAGAGATTTCCAGCGACGGGATGAGCTGGTCTATTCTGGGCCTGCCTGTAGTCTCTTATCTCGACTCTGGAGAGTACATCTGTAAGGCAAAGAACTTTCTGGGGGCAACAGAAGCGTTCATCTCTCTCATCATCACAGACTCAGAAAGCACGGACGACCCCAGCTCTAGTGCCAAGGGCACGTGGAGTGGCAAGGCGAGCGGGATGGAAGCAGCTGCCTACAACGACAAGCTGGTGGCCAGGTATGTTATCACCACCTCCACTGTGCCTACCCTGGGGGCTGGAGTGGGCACCGGAGAGGGCCTGCCCCTTCCAGATGTGGCACAAGATGACAACCCCAGAAACCTGCTGGTGAGCCCACCCCCTGGCCAGCAGGAACCGGAGCGGATGGTGAGGTCTGTCAGGGTGATAGGAGACACTGATCAGAGTATCACCCTGGCCTGGAAGGCTCCTCTGGCAAACAGCACCACCGTGTTCAGCGTCCTCTACGCTGTCTTTGGGGAGAGAGACATGCGGCGGATCAGCGTGGAGCCAGGCAAGACCAAGGTCACCGTTTATGGGCTGCTGCCCAAGACCAAATACATCGCCTGTGTCTGCGTGAAAGGGCTCATCCCCAGAAAGGAGCAGTGCATCATATTTTCCACAGACGAAGCCGCCAGCGCGGGAGGGACCCAGAAGCTCATCAACATGGTGGTCATCAGCGTGGCCTGTGTCATTGCTGTTCCTCTGACGCTGGTGGTCTGCTGCGGGGCGCTGAAAAGGCGCTGCAAAAAATGCTTCGTGCGGAAACCCAAGGAGATTCAGGAGTCCTATGTCACCTTTGAGAGCCTGTCTCCTGGGGCCAAAGTGAAAGGTGTGGAAGGAGAATATTTGACTAGACACACTCCCGATGAGTCAAACAGGCTGCTCTCTGCCCGGTCCAGCGTGGACTCAGAAGCAATCCCAAAGACAGAGGGGCAACCTAATGAATACTTTTGCTGACAGTAATGAGGCTCGTTTTTGGCTCGATAGGTGGAAAGCCCGTGGCTGTATATACAACCCTGCTCCAGCATTGCAGGTCACCCTGCCAATGCTTCTGTCTCTGACACGTTCTGGAGGACGATGCAAAAGGGTAGATGGTGCCCAAGCTTTACAGAAACACGTCGCTCACACCACTTGGGGTTTGCTATTTTGAACCCAGTCAAAAGCTCTGTGATCGTGGCCTCGTTCTCCTGGACCAGTTCTATTTTCGTAAAATGAAGCGTGCACACTGAGTGTGAGGACACTAAGCAGCAGTTCTGAGCATGCTTGGTGTTGTTTAGTACCTGCTCTGCAATATTCTTTTATTCTCAGCTCTTTTGATGATATTTGATTGACAAACAGAGGAGTGCTTAATAATTTTAATATAAATATCTCTGAAGGTGAAGATTGGGATTTTCATCTTTTACATCCCTCATGTTTGCATGAAACATGTAGCTTGATGCTTAATAGGACACTAAACACAGACATACAGCAATCCAGTCTGGTATGTCCAACGTAATAACAGTTCTGTGCTCTGAATTCAGAGAAATGTGCAAAGGAGATAGAAATCAAGAGACAGAACCCAATCCACTCCTCAGAATACATAACAGAGAGGGTTTTGTGATTGCATTTTGAACCTCAAGACTATTATTAAGATTTTCTCCAACAAGAGTACCACACAGGTCTTTCGGTATCGGTCCTAGATGGCATCTTCTAGCTGTGTTGTAATTAGTAGAGTATGTTTTATATTGGCTATGTTAGGTGTAATCATACAGTAGCCCACTCTGTAAATTGTGTGTGGTGTTGTAATCCTTTGTAATTATACTGAAAAACCTGCAGTAGACAGCTCTGCAAAAATCTCCCAAACCATCCCTGTCACTGCTGCTGGCTTTCCTGACAAAACTGCTGGTGAAGATCAGAGTGCTTAGCCAGGCACTGGTGGTTTGGTCACAAAAAGACCTTGCTCTGTGCTGAGCAGGGGTATGTGATGTGGTGGTAGACCACTGGTGAGACACATGTGAACCATACTCCCACCGTGGCCCCAGTGGTGGCAGAGGTTCAATGTGGACTTTTGGATTTTGAAGATTTTACACATTCAAGAGCCCTGAAAAAAACTCTTTAATATTCATCTCAATGTACTTTCATAGTCAGGGTGAGCTAATCAGTTAATTTAGTCCTGCATCTCCAGTGGCATTTGGATGTGAGTTCTTATCACAAAGCACTTCCCAAGTGTATAATTTCCCACTCCAGTCCCTCATGTAGTAATACTGTATATAAAGTTTTTTTTCTTTGTAATAAATATTCTTCATGAAGAAAATTACGTGTTCTGCCAAATGTTCAATGGGAGGGATCCTGCCAAGTTGGAACAACTGATGAAGCTTGTTGAATAAGTGTTGAAATGTGTGTATCTGTGAATTTATTGGGAGGCTCTCCAACCACATTCTGGATGTGTATGTACAACGTGGGTTAACGAATTCCACGGGGTGGAATGGAGACCTGTGTGGATTTTGCAAGTCCCCCTTGGTACAGAAAGGTTTCAGTTATGTCAGATCACTTGGCCTGGTGGAAAAAGTGAGTAATTTGGTCTCAGTGGAAATAACAAGCAATAAGGGACACGTTACAACAGCTCCTGATAGGACTCCCTGTATTCCTTGCAGTAATGATAAAGAACTTCTCCTCTATTGGGAGAATTTGCCAATCCTTGTATAAAATAATGCACACCACTTTTATCATTAGACTACAGAGATTTTTCAGTTTACAGATAAAATTTTGCAAAATGATGCATTTTAATACAAAAAAATGAATTGATTAAAAATGTAGTATGTAATAGATCTATTACTCACTTATACAGCTGCATTTCAAGGAGTAATTCTTACTCTGCCTCCAAGGTAGAACAAAAATAGTTCTCAGTAGCACTTTTTGGGATGAGTTGCCAGAATTGCTGTGTTATTGAGCCTGATTCCTGCCCACATCTGCAACAGGGCTGTGCAGACATCAGCCTGACAGAGCCCTGGGTGGATCAACCAGCCTTGAAGAATCCCAGCTGTCCTAAAGTTCTGTGGTGAGCAGAGTGAACCTACTGCCCAAGGCCCTTCCCGTCAGTCACGTTTGCAGGAGCTGACTGGCAAGGAGAGGTGTCTACCTCTTGGGTGCTGCAACAGGGCTGTGCAGACATCAGCCTGACAGAGCCCTGGGTGGATCAACCAGCCTTGAAGAATCCCAGCTGTCCTAAAGTTCTCCTGTGGTGAGCAGAGTGAACCTACTGGCCAAGGCCCTTCCTGTCGGTCACGTTTGCAGGAGCTGACTGGCAACGAGAGGTGTCTACTTCTTGGGTGCCTGGAGGCACGAGGTGGGTGATGTGCTGTGTCCAGCCCTGGTGAGGAGCAGCCCTCACCCTGTGCTGCACACTCCAAGGCACAATGGGCAAGGTTCCAGAGCTCTCACCTTCTGCTTGCAGGGAGGAGAGGATGGACAGGTCCTCCTGTGACATCCCTCAGCTTCTGCTTGCACGGAGGAGAGGATGGACAGGTCCTCCTGTGACATCCCTCACCTTCTGCTTGCATGGAGGAGAGGATGGACAGGTCCTCCTGTGACATCCACTGTGGATGTTTTAAATTTTACAGACTCTGTTGAATATTTTTTTGCACTTTGAATAAAAAGCAATCCCAAGTAGAACAAGCATGAATTTTCTTTTCCACTTCCTATGGCTACTCTCACTGTCTCATAGGTGAGGCATCACAGTTTAGCATCTTAACAACTGCTGCTCCAAAACAAGCCACTCCCTCCACTGTACTAGTGATTCACACAAGACAGGCAACAGAAAGAACCTTGTAAAGCTCTGTGTAGTCTGGTGTTGATCAGAAAATAAACCCTGTACTTGTTAAACTACAGGGGAAATTTCAAACCATTGAGTAAAATGATTTTCTGCTGAATGTGACTTTAAGGCTCTGGGTGAGGTTTTAAGTGTTATGAGGCATGTAAAGGTAAATACTTGACTGCATTGTTTTTGTTGTTTGAACCAAATGGGTGCTAGGCACCTGGTTTCAGCAGGGATATCTCAGCATAAGACACGTGAAAGGAGCTGGCTCAGAGTTTAGGCAAGGAAAATATTAATCCCTGGAAATAACTTCTTACTCAGTTAAAGTCAATCCTGGGACAGACATGTGCTATAAGAACTGAAATGAACATCTGAGCATCTTTTTGAGTTACTGCATTAAGTAGTAATTAGTAGGGTTTTTTTTTTTCCCAACAATTTCTTCTGTTCAATTCTTTTTCCTTGGAAAATGTTTCCTCTTTTAATGCTTGCTTTGAGTCAGGTTTTGACCAATTTGTTGCTTTTCAGGGTGTATTTTGGCACTGTCAAGGAATATATTTTGGAATCTCTTGAAGTATAATGTTCCTCATCTGCTGGCCACTTAGTCCAACTAGTACAGACATCAACATTAATGGGCAAACCAGCAACCAAAGTCCTCCCTCTACTAAGGATATTGTTCACCAGGGATCCAAGGTGGCCCACCACTGGAGGAATGAATGGACCAATGTATTCACTCACAACACGCAACTCTGAGAAGAAGGGAGTGAGTCAATTCCAAAACCAGGCCATGGGGGGAGAAAGAGACAGAGTCCATTCATAGAGGAATTGCCAGGGGAGCACCTCATAATTCCTCTCATGTCTCGATCTTGTCCCACCATTACTGAGAGCTGTGAAGAGTCAGAGAGCCCTTTCAATGACCAGATTCCCCACACAGCTCCTGCACTGTGTGAGCTGACCTCCCACCCCACTGCCAGCAGTCAGCTCTTACAGAGGTGGCTTCTTGCCCTGTCTCCAAGTTAATGTGGAAGGTGG